TCCTGGCTCAAGCTATTCTTCTTCTTCATCTCCTGAATAGCTGGGACTACAGGTGCACACTACTGTCACCCAGCTTAGATACCTCAATTTGCTTTTTATCCTAATGCCCTTGTCTCTTATTCTGCTTTTGTAGATTTATTTGGCACTTTGACTTTATTATTGATTGATTGATTAATTGATTTAAGGGCAGCGCCTGTGGCTCAAAGGAGTAGAGCACCGGCCCCATATGCTGGAGGTGGTGGGTTCAAACCCAGCCCCAGACAAAAACTGCAAAAAAAAAAGAGAGAGAGAGAAACTAATTGATTTAAGAGCCTGGGGTCTCCTGAGCCTCCCCAGTAGCTTAGACTACAGGCACATATCACCTCGTCCTTCCACTTTCACTTTAGTTGGAATAATACAGAGGCATATATCTGAAAATGCCAGGAGAAAATTGGCTGAGAAAGTCTTCTCTTGGAATGGTGAATGAATAATATAATCTCCAACAATATCTTTCCATAGATGTTGTTCTTTTTATAGTACACCTTCATTAGACCTTTAAAAAAGTTGAACCCTTGTTTAAGTATGGATTTCACTGATTTCAATTATATCTTAAGTTCATTGAGAAATCAAAGGGCTTTTTTTTTGAGACAGAGTCTCCCTGGTAGAGTGCTGTAGCGTCACAGCTCACAGCAACCTCAAACTCTTGGGCTTAAGCAATTCTCCCACCTCAGCCTCCTAAGTAGCTGGAACTACAGGGCCATTTAGATTTGAATGTCTGGGGTTTTAAGTTTTTTTTTAGAGATAGGGTTTCCCTTTGTCACCCAGGTTGCAGGGTAGTGGCATACTCATAGCTCACTGCAACCTCAAACTTCTGACCTCAACTGATCCTCCCAACTCAGCCACTATGCTCACCTAATTTTTCTATTTTTTGTAGAGAGAGGGCTCTAACTTATGTTGTTCGGGCTAGTCTGTAATGTCTGGCAACAAGCAATCTTTCTACCTCCACCTCCCAAAGTGCTGGGATTACACACATGCGCCACCCAGCCTGGATGTGGATTTTTTAAGATGAAATTTTTATACTTTGAAGATGTAAAGCCTCAAAGCTTAAATTTATCAGGACTTCAAATCAAAGCACTTTCTATGTCTTTGGTACTAATTTCATACTATTTTCCACTTACTGGTGATTTTCTCATAGGGAAAAAGCATAAAAATATTTTTACATTTCTAGCTTCAAAATAGCTCAGATGAATATCTTTTTTAACCACAATAGTAAGCCTATTTCCAATAATACAGGTGTTTTCTTTTCAAAGCAAATAGGTAGATGTTAAAACTAAGAGAGAGAGAGAGGCCAGGTGTGGTGGCTTATGCTTGTAATTTCAATAGTTTGGAAGGCTGAGGCAGGAAGATCACCTGAAGCCAGGAGTTTAAAACCAGGCGGGGAAACATACAAGACCCCAGCTCTACAAAAAAATAATCTAATAAAAAAATTTAACTGGGCATGTGCCCATAGTCTTAGCTGCTTGGGAGGTTGGAGGATGTCTTGAGCCCAAGAGTTTGCAGTGAGGTATGATCAGGCCACTACATCCCATGCACCCTAGCCAGGGCAACAGAAATAAAAAAAGATAAGTTATAGAATTCAAATTGTATTTAGAAAATGTTGGGTGAGTGCCCAACATTAAATGATCTGTCATTTAACCCAAGTTTAATCCCTTTTATGAAGATGATCCTTTTCCTGGTCTGATTGATATATTTGGTGATAAAGGATTAAATGAATCTCAAGCAAGTCTCCTCGCTTGTTGAGGTTTTGCTACTTTGGCTTTGCCAATTTTTGGCTATGGAGATCTACTTCTAATCGTGAAGGATTTAAATTTAAATTACTTTGAAAAAGCAGTTAAATTCATGCAAAGTCATCCAAAGGTGAGTGGAAAAAGAAATTCATTCTGTAATAACCGAGCCCCCAGCCCCCAAACCCCCAGGACTAGTAAGAAAGGCAACAAACTTCTTGTACTTGTAAAAAGAATTACTTTTAGCTTCAGCCCCACCACAAAGGAGAGGAAGTTAAGTTCTGAGAAGCCTAAAGAAACGAAAGGAAGGAAGGGAGGGCTTGGATTCCAGATTAAGCCCTGGTGTTACCCAATTTGTACCCCTGAACTATGAGTTAATGTCTAAGTTGCCATGTACTTCCACCCTGAATTGTGTAAACCCCTATGACATACCCCATCTTATGACCATGAAGTAATGTACTCGTGATATATCTTGTGATTATGATCTTATGTGTACCCCCACCTAGCGACCCCCTGCCTTAACCGCTGTGATTGGCTTCTGTATTACGCTTGCTTGCTAAGCTTGGTATAAAAGAGCCCTTCACCTGCTACTAGAGGCTGCTGCACGCCATCTTGGTGTCTCAGCCCGTCTGCAGGCGTTCCAAATTATTAATAAATTTCTATTGCTTAATTAGACCTGAAGTGGGGTCCATCTCTCTCTCTCATTTGCCATTTCATTTCTTTTTTCTTTTCTTTCTTTTTTTTTTTTTTTTTTTGAGACAGAGCCTCAAGCTGTCCCCCTGGGTAGAGTGCCGTGGCATTACAGCTCACAGCAACCTCCAACTCCTGGGCTCAAGCGAGTCTCCTGCCTCTGCCTCCCAAGTAGCTGGGACCACAGGCGCCCGCCACAACACCCGGCTATTTTTTGGTTGCAGCCGTCATTGTTGTTTGGTGGGTCTGGGCTGGGGATTCGAACCCGCCACCTTAGGTGTATGTGGCTGGCGCCTTAGCCGCTTGAGCTATAGGCGCCGAGCCGCCATTTCATTTCAATTCCAGATGAACTCATTGGGGCCAGAAGAGAATGGATAAATTAAGTGGTACTAATGAGTTGGAAAATATCTAAAACAGAGACCTATTGAATAAATAAATGAATGAGCTTCTGATAAATGATTAATAATAAAAGAGTTTCCTTTATTGAGGACTTTGTGACCCCATTAACAATCATACTTTCTAGGCCAGGCACAGTGGCTCACACCTGTAATCCCAACACTCTGGATAGATTGCCAGAGTTCACAGGTTCTGAGACCAGCCAAGCCAGAGCGAGACCTTGTCTCTAAAAATAGCTGGGCATTGCGGTGGGCACCTGTAGTGCCAGCTACTCAGGAGGCTGAGGCAAGAGAATTGTTTGAGCCCAAGAATTTGAGGTTGCTGTGAGCTGTGATGCCACAATGCTCTACTGAGGACAACGAAGTAAGAATCTGTCTTAAAAAACAATACTTTCTTTGTCTTTTTCCATGTTTGTCTTTCTTTTTCTTCCACCTGCAGGTCAAAGGTCCAAACATTGGAGTAATTGGCTCAGGCAAAGTGGCAGAATTGGCATTTTCCACGGCTAGCTTTCTTCCAAATATAGCTACAGTTATGAGCACCAATGGCTGCCCCTCTAATACAATTACTGCCCTTACATGTGGTAGATTAATCCTGCCAGGACTGCCTTTTAATCTAAAGAAAATCTCTGCCACTGATTTGGGAGTTTATGATGTTAAAGAAGCACAGAAGACCCCTTAGGCTTGGCGCCTGTGGCTCAAGTGACTAAGGCGCCAGCCACATACACCTAAGGTGGAGGGTTCAAATCCAGCCCAGGCCCACCAAACAACAATGCTGGCTGCAACCAAAAAATAGCCGGGCGTTGTGGCGGGCACTTGTGGTCCCACCTACTTGGGAGGCTGAGGCAGGAGACTTGCTTGAGCCCAGGAGTTGGAGATTGCTGTGAGCTGTGATGCCACAGCTCTCTACCCAGGGGGACAGCTTGAGGCTCTGTCTAAAAAAAAAAAAGAAGAAGACCCCTTAGATCTAGCCTATCAGGAAAGTCATATCCCTCTTGAAAAAGCCAATGCCCATTTCCTTTTTATTGTTGGAGAAGATGACAGGCATTGGAAGAGCTCCATTTATACCGACATAGCTGTGAAGCCCCTCGCAGAGCATGGGAAGACAAATTTCACTCTTTTAAGCTACCCTAATGCTGGCCACAGAATAGATCCCCTTTATAGCCCTTTTTTCTCTGTAACCCTGGATCCCGTATTGGGGTTGCCTGTTTGGGGAGGGAGGCAGCTCGGCACTATTGTGCATGATTGAGTCTTGGAAAAAGATCTTAGAATTTTTGCACTTGCACTTAGGGTAAAGGCTAGAAAGCTAAAATTAAAATGTGCTTCGGGACAAATCAAGGTACAGATTTTGAATATTTTTGACAAATGATGACTGAGATCTGAACTTCTCATGGGCATCTGCAAGCTTTGAAAATAAGTAAAACTACTTGATTCAAGTTCATCAGAGAATATAGCTTTGGAACTATCCAAATGTCCCACATATTTGGTTTGTTTGAGGTTTTTTTTTCTTTGCAGTTTTTGGCCAGGGCTGTGTTTGAACCCACCACCTCTGGCATATGGGGCTGGCACCCTACTCCTTTGAGCCACAGGCACTGCCCCGATTTGTTTGAGCTTTAACTCTAGGTAATTGCTAATTGTAAACCAGCTTTCAATCTAACACTTACCCTTCTCAACTTCCCTTTCTGTCACTTTCTGTACCTAAAGATTCTTTAAAATACCAGTATATGACCATTAGTTTGCTATATCTGTCATGAAGTTTTAGAAATATTTTGAACAGGGATGAATACATGAATATAGGCCCTGGGGAATCACTGGGTTATGATAATTTTCTCGTAATAGGCAGAGGCGAAAGAGTAAATTCTAACAGAATAACTCAGACACTAGATGGTGGTAGACAAGTCATGCAAACCTTTCTGCTGTTGATCAGATTTTGGTATTTTCCTAGTTGCCATCTATTCCAGCATCTTTAGAGAAAGTTAGAAACTCTAAGATACTTGCCTTAAATATGGCAACCACACTTTGGGAGGCTGAGATGGGAGAATTGCTTGAGCCCAGGAGTTTGAGGTGGCAGTAAGTTATGATAGCACCAGTGCACTCTAGACTCTAGTCAGGGCAACAGCAAGTCCTTGCCTTAAAAAAAAGACATCCACCAGGTTTACACCTGTAATCTCAATCTCAGCGCTTTACGACTTTGGGGGGGGGGATTAGCTTAAGGCCAAGATTTTTTTTTTATCTTTTTAAAGTACTTTATTAAGATGTTTCTCACAAACTAAGGGAAGTAGGGAAACTTATTTACTAGGAAGAGAAAAATCTTTATTTTATAACATATGTGAAAAGCACCAAAAAGAATTTGGCATAGTAACTGAATTCCAGAGTTGTTTCCAGTTCTTTTACTCTATCCTATATTGTGGCAGTGGTACTCAAAGCTTTCAGAAGGAATACCAAATCCAGTAACACCTAAAGTGACAGATAACAATATACACTTACATAGCTCATCAAACATAAATCCTCTCTTGTAAATACACAGGTTAAGATTAAATGTGATATAAACTACCTTTTTAGAAATAAGATTATTAGTACCAAAGCAGATTACAACACAAATGTTACTAATTGAAGAACCAATGGTTCATTCAAATAGCATTGTATGTTCAACAATATTTTAAAGACTTTTCTATATAACTTAAGATACA